ACACACACACACACACACCCATCTGGTAGCCTGGTGCTCTGTCATGAGAGTTTGTTGGAAATAGCTCTGTCACAGCAGTAAAACACGTATGCAGCCGACAAAGGCATGCGTGATTGACTCATGAAAATGCTTTATTCCCGCTTGTAACAAATAATTTCTTTATACCACTTTGACTTACAGTTATAACAGCAAAATATTTCTCACATAGGCTGAAAGTCAAAAATAGTGACAGACGCATGGTAGCATGGTTGTGCAACCAACCACCTTGAGTGCACAGCAGGGCAGCAGCCCCAAAAGCTTTGTAGAGTACAGTCTGTCTACGAGGGATGAAACAAAACAAATGTGTATTTGAATCGGAAAATCAGGTTTTGATTTAAAAGATACCAAATGGTTCCACTTTGAAATATATCGCGATACGTATCGAATCATCTCTGATTGGAGAGATAAGTATATCTTTGAAGGAAATGCCACATTTATAGCATGCTGCAGACAAGTTCATTCATCTTGTAAAAGGACAACTAGAAACATTGCATCCCAGCTTCTCAAACTAAGCCGTATCATATTGATTCTAATCGTAATTCCACAAAATTGAATTGATTGGAGTTGTTCCACTGATCGCCTCAGGTTGGTGAGGTTGAGTGTTTGACTTTAAATGTATACGACACATCAGTTGGAATGAGACATGGGAAACGTCTCTGCTATATTTACTATATGTCACAACCAATTTTATTCAAGAGGAGACTGAGGGCACCAAGACAGAATTGGAGACTGGAAAAAAAAAAAGACGCATTTTCCTGACCTTTCTCTATCACTGTTATAAGGAGTCCCATAATGCCAGGTCAGTGTTGTGAAATTTAACACTGACACAGCAGTGCATTCCCCAGTGCATTCAATTTAAAATGTTTCTATTCACCTGTAAAGCCCTTCACAATCAGGCCCCCTCCTACTTCTGCGACCTTCTCCACACATACACTCCTTCCCGCACCCTCGACTCCTCAAATGCAAACCTCCTTGCCATCTCCATGACCAAGTACAAAACCTAGGCGGACAGAGCCTTCTCTGTCCGCCCCCTCACCCTCTGGAACCTCAACTGTACTGACCTAACATCCTTCAAATAATTTCTCAAATCTCAACTGTTCCACGATGCTGTTCACATCTTTTAACCCTTGTTACTCATTTCTTGTTTTTTTTTCTTTTCTTGACATTTGTGTGGTTTGAAGCTTGTGTATATTCTGTTTTAAACTGTATGTTTTTATCTTGTGTTTCTTAATTCTTGTTGTAAAGTATCTCCGAGTACTGTGAAAAGCGCTGTCAATAAAAATGTATTATTAACCATAAAAAAGGGAACCCTGCTACTTCCCATGTAAAATACATTTTGCCAGTAAATCATACAGCTATGAATAATTTTGAATACATACTTGAAGTCAGCTGGGAGAAGCTCTGGCTTTCTGCATCCTTAATAAGGATAAGCTGTATGGAAAATGAATGGATGGATGGTTGTAGAGGATTACAATGCATCCCTTTTGGGATTCAACAAGTGCTTAATATAAAGAAACATCAAAGTCAAGTCCCAAAAATAAGGTCACCAAACGAAATGTGTCTAGAATGGCACTAAATGTAGATGAAAATCATTCCCGAAAGAGGCCCCATTACAGGTCCATACTTAGACCTCAAGTACTGTTTTAAGAAGATATAAGCAAAATACTTTCTTTCTGCACACACAAAATATTTGCGGTGGTGGAGACAGAGGATAGAAGACTCTGAATGTTATGTCCATCCAACCATCCATTTTCTATACTGCTTACCCCATTAGGTGAGCTACTGTATAGCCTATTCCAGCTGACTTTGATTGAGATTGCAGGTCACATCTAGATAACCAACCATTCACCTCTTGGACAAATTAGTCTCCTAAAAACCTAACATGCATACTTTTGGAATGTGTGAGGAAGCTGGAGAACACAGAAGAAACCCACTCAAATTCGGTGACAATCTGCAAACTATAGTCCCCCATTACCAAGGTTCGAACGCCAAGCCTTAGAAGTGTGAGGCAGATGCGCTAACCATTAGGTTGCAAGGCTGCCTTTTAATGTTTCTTTATTTGTTTTCATTTTGATGGGCAATACAAATAAACTTGCCTTGCCTGAAAGGATGCACTGTACAGTCAACACAGGAAGGTCAAATAGGTAAGACCTCAGATTCAAACAAAAAAAAAACGTTAGAACTGTGAGGCAAAGTGGTAACCACGAGTGCACTGCCCTGAATGTAATACCAATAAAAAAAATGGGAGCAGGTGTCCTAGTATGGCTCCCAAATTCTGTATGTCCCACGCGATTTCAATCTTGCCTGAACAAGCCCAGAGGGACTCAGGGTGAGTCATCCATCCAGAACATGACACAAAAAAACAGCTCACATCCTGTCACAAGCAGACATTCATCATTCACATAAGAGAAGCCTGGCTGGTTGACTAACCAGTAATTCTAAAGCCACACACTTGCCAACAGAGACAGTTTGCATATACGATATATGCCATAATGCCCAGCAATTTTAAGGCTGGGTTCTCGGGGAAGTGAGGCAACGCAAAACTCCAGCTCAAGCCTGTTTCTCAGCAATCAGATTTATTTCCAAGACTGTGCTTTTGGGGTTAAAACCTGCAGGGCCTTATATGTACTGTAGGTGGGGAAACTTCATAAACGCTCTCTGGAGCTCCAGTCTCAGGTTTCAGCTGGCTTGCTTTCACAACACACAGTCCACGATTCATAAATACCACGCTTATTGAAAAAGTCAATGTGGTTCCACTGTACTTTAGCTTACATCTATAAACAGGATCTTTTGGTCCTTGTTGAAAAAAAAAGAAAGCAGTTTCCTGGTGTTTTCCAACTTTCCTAATTCACAAACAGATAAGGGAAGAAACCAGGTTGGGTTTTGTGTTGTCAGATTTAAACTTGGTTAAATTTAAAGTTATGTGTGAGTGAGAAAGTAGTGGTCACGTTTCGAAGGGAAAAAAAGGCAAAAGTAGAAAACAGACTGGTGCTGTGTGAACTTGACACCATCTGGCCACCTACACATCGACTGAGAAGGCTATGACTGAATATTAGTTGGCCAAACAACACATCTCTTATCTAAATATTTACTTAAATAGGCAGGCATTGTCTGTTTTTCATCTGAGGAGACAAATTAGAAAAGTTTGTACAGAAAATTAAATATAGCGTTTGGAGAGATAGATAAATAGATAAAGATACGACAGTACATCCAGTATTATGTAAAGGCCACACCGTACTTACTTTCTCACTTATGAATCCAGGGGCTAGCCCGACTAGGAACAACAACCACAGAGTCCTCATCCCAATTTTCAGCGAGACGGCGTAACTGAAGAATCTGCCTCGCTCTCTCTCTCACTCTATATATATGTATTAAAAAGTGCCAAAATAGAAACGTATACGTTCAAATCAAAAGTAAATACTTTGCAATCTATCGTAATCGTGTTTCGGTCGGTATTTTCGACAATGCTAATAAATCTCCGCTTTACGGCGTGCCGCAGCTGGACGAGTCGAGGTGTGGAGTCGCTCGCTCAGTCTGGAAAAGTTGTTTGGTCTGGCATGGAACCGTGACGCCGCGGTGATGTCATGACGCCTTTGCGTCACCTGAAGCGGAAGTTAGGGGCGTGTCCCACTGTGTGAGGATTGTTTTACAACGAAGTATGACAAAAATATATTCATGAATTATAGCTGAAGTGAAAACCAAAAAGACGTTGATTTATATAATTTAAAGTACTTTCTTGCTATATTTGTTTCATTTTAAATATGGCATTAAATTTCTTGTGTCAACCATGTATACACTATGGTCCCAAAATGGGAGGAAATTACTTATTTCAATACAAATTGAATTGCCTAGTACACCTTGAGTCTTTGCAACAGTTACATATTGTTCCAGTAGTTGCTTTGTGTATGCAATGTAATACATACCTAATGACGAGCCATTTTCATAAATAATTTTATTACCCATAAAATATACAGTGATCTCAGTACTGAAATAATTCATTGCAACTTTGACTTCACAGTTCTTTTTTCTATGTACATTGCAACCCATCTGAAACAAAATTATTCATAGGGAATCCACAAAATGTACATTTTTCCAGTTCAACTAACTCTTCAACAAGGTAAAGCAGAAATTTCAAGTCTGAGATTTGAGTGGGTTCTTTTTAAAACAACAAAAGCAAGCAAACCATGCCGTATAATAAAGGTCAAAGAAACTCAAATGCTGTTTTGTCCTTGGTTTACCTAAGTCTGTACCTCAACAGTGGCCAAGTGCTTCATTACTTACCTAGTCACTGCTTTTACAGCTGCCTCAACACATTTCCCCTCAGTAACTAATGAAAGCACAAAATGAGCACATATATAGGACCCAAAAGTACACAAATAATTTATTCTTGAGACTAAACGATGATGGACAGATTGATACACAAGGGTTAATTTGATCAACAATAAAATAACTTGATGTAAATAATGGATGTTCTTTTCAATTGGATAGGGAGTTAAAGACAAGGATATTTTAAAATTTCAACATTCACACAAATTCCCTCCTGTGTGACACAGACTTGAAAGGACAAGTGCGTTTTTGAAAGATGTAGCGTGTAGAAGAATCTACCTCTATGATCACACAAACATCATAAAAAAATAACTGGCTGCACCATCTCCAGGAAAACCAACCAAGACAACCTGCAAACAAACAAACTCATGTACACTTAATTGAAAGTGGGTTAAAATGTCTCCGCATCTTTTGGTCCATGCTGGTTTAGCTTACTTTTAGCTGCTACCGTCCTTCCGTCCACATGTTATTGCAGTAAAAATGTCGCTGTATGCCCATCGAGTGCAATCACTTCAATCGTGAGTGAGTGTAGCCTTGTATCAGCTGGAAGGACACCTGGTGCTGGATGAGGTTAGGAAGGATGACTTTTAAGGCTCCTGAAGGGACTTGTGTCTCTTTTCTGCCTGACCAAGATGATCCTGTTTGAACCTTAAGACACAACGTGTGTTTGTGTGTGTGTTTCACGCAGATTCCTGGCCTTCAGTATGTCTCTGAGTCAGAGTCGTTGAGCTCTTCGTCTTTGTAGAAGACATCGTGATGGCTGATGTTGTTGAAGCTGCAGTAGGAGCTGTGCTGGCCGCGCAGAGCAGGCAGACTATCGAAGGTGACGCTCTTGGAAGGGCTGGTGGTGTAGTGGTTAATGGCACTGAAAGGAAGGGTGGGTGGCGGGGTGCACGGGGACACAGGCATCATGGTGGCCAGGATGAGGGCGAGGCAGTCTGCCACATCTTTGTTGGGGGCACAAGCCAAGGCGGGTGTGTAACCTGAGGCAATGACCACAATCCAGTGTTTATTGCAAAATGTTAACACGTTTATCTATATCTAGAATGAGATCAACACATTTACCATTCTCATCGACTGCAAGGACACTGGCTCCCTTTGCGAGCAGCTCTTGCACCACTACCGTCAGGCCATTTCTTGCAGCTACGTGCAGAGGCCTTGAATTGAAAGAACAACAAGGATTAGGTAAAAGGTCAAGTTGTAAATAGGTGGAAAATGTCTTGCTATTTTCCATGGGAGGGTTCCCTAAGAAATTTTGGAAATAATTACTCACACAAATTGGATAATCCTTATGGAAATTACTGATAATTTAGTTATCTGAATTATTTGGGGGTTAATGTTTTGGACACAATTTACAATCATAATGGATTTTGTCACAAGCAGACACATATGCAAAAGATACTCATGATTAAAAAACAATTAAGTTTTACCTAATGTCTGCAAACAGAAACAAAAAAACTATTGCAAGCGATACCTACGTCTGTAAGGCGGCATTAGTGGCATTTATGAGGTTTCTGTCTGTAATCTTCTCCAATATCAACAAGGCACTGGTTTCATGTCCCTGTGAAAAGCAAGCAGAGTTTTAGTGAGAAGTAAGAAACAATTATCCAGTGTGCGTTTAGCATACTATGTGGTAAGACAGCCAGCTTGCTGCCTAAACTTGAAACACACCCCTCTAGTGGTTATAAAGTGTACATACCTTACTGCAGGCAAGATGAAGTGCAGTGTTCTTCATTGCATCCTGAAGCGTGAGATCTGCTTTTGCACTGCTCACCAGGAGCTCTTAATATTGAGAATGACACATAAAATTAACTGACAAACATTCTAATGAGTTTGCCTCTTAGATCAATTTTGTTGGCGTCAGGCGAAAACCGTGCCCCTGCCCCACAAAACGGCATGTTTTTAGAGCCATTACCAATGTATCGTCAAAGACTGCAAGCCATCATCAACACTTAAGATTGGTCAACCGAGATGGGGAGTGACCAATAGTAAAGATTTGTGAAAAAACATGAAATTGCCCACATTTGGACAGAGGTTTCAGTCCGATGCCAGTGATTCTCGTGTGCAGCAAGCTTACCAACTGCATTGGTTTGGCCGTTTTGAGCAGCCATCATGAGTGGGGTCTTTCCTGTGGCATCCACACTGTTGACGTGAGCATTGTGGCTCAACAACAGCTGCAGACACTCAACATGGTCAGTGAAGGCTGCGGCATGCAGAGGAGTCCTGGACACAAAACGAACGACATAAATCAGGGTTTAAAAAAACTGATATATTAGGACGGTTTAGCCAGCATTTACTTTCGCAAGAAAGATTTCACCTGTTTTTGTTGTCTTTGGCATTGACAATGGCGGGGCCCATGGTGTCGATAAGCATCTCAGCAGCACCTTCATTGTCACGGATCCTTAGGAGAGAGATTTTTTATTTTTAACCCCAGCAATCTGGTTTTACCATCTATCAATTAGTGCAACTATTGGATAACTTACACAGCACAGTGGAGGGGGGTGAAGAGATTGCCCTCTGCTTTTTGGAAAACCTCTTGTTCTAGTAGAACCTCCACACATGTATCATGACCTTTAATAAAGAATTCCAGTTAATTGTAAAACTGAGCAACCACAGTGACATTCTTCTTTAGAAAATTGTTTTCATTTGTTTCTATGCTGGCCCCTCAAAATAAGTCTATTGTCTGGGGCTTTCTGCCACTGGTAGTCACCCATGGCAAACAGCGCTAAGGTGAGGACCAGACAAAGAATAGCTATGAGCCCCTTACGATGGACACATTTTTTGGAGTAGGTATTCCCTTGCTCAGTAGCCTATCTCCGGTGGCCCCCTCTGGAGCGAGGGCTCGAGATGGGGGCGAACGCCTAATGGGTTTACACAAACAGGACCCGGTTGAAGAATAAATATGGGTTCCCTTTACATGGGCTCACGAAATGTAGGAGAGGCCACGAGAGTTTTTGCAAGGTCGAGAAGTTTGAAATGGATGATCGTGCTCGCCTCGACACACAACTTGGGCTCTGGTCTGTTCCACTGTGGATGTGCGCTCAGTGAAAACTCACAGATTTTCAATATCAGCCTCCTTGCTGATTATAAGATTATTTAAAGTCTCAATCAGTTTCCAGCTGGCGTTTTTACGGTTCATTTTGTAATGTTCATCTATGGGCATAATAATTGATTCATATTGTGAGAAGTTATGTTTGTTTGAAGAAAAAACAAGTTAATTAATGCCAGACATTTTTACTTATCATAAGAGGTTGACTGATTTTTCACAACCCACAGAATTATTGTGTTCATTTTTTAATTCTCAGGCATGAATATTGGAGATTTTGTTTTGACAAGTTTGTTCATTTGGGATTTGTTGCATTGCATGGTGACAGGATGTGATGATGCGGGAGGGGACACGCACGGTTTCTCCATTTCTCTTGGTCTATCTTAATTCCATTAAACATTTTAAAATGTGTTTAAAAACCTTAAAAGTAAAATAAGTGCCATAAATACTGTAAAAACATCCCAAAGGAGTATTTTAATAGTGTATTTCTACATCACGGATTTCATTTTTTGTAACTTTTTTTCCCATGGAAATATTTACTGTTGTCATGACGTTCCGGCTGCAATTACCTAGATTATTTATAGACTACCCTGCATTCCTACAAAAGTGGTTTATTTCACCGCCACAAGAATGAAACTACATTTAATTTATAAGGACCCACTTATAAAAACATGCCCAACTAGAGTCCATTTCTTTGTGAATCCACAAACCATTGTAGCAGGACCAGTGCAGCGGTGTGTAGCCTTGGCTATCTGTTAACACTGGAGGTGTTTCCACTGACTGGGCAGCATGCAGCAGGCCTCCCAATACACCAATGTGCCCACATGCTGCTGCCAGGTGGATGGGTGTGCGACCTTTACAGTCTTGCACCAAGAAGCTGGCACTATGCTGAAGTAAAGCCTCCACACATTCTTCATGACCAGTAACAGCCTGCAAATAGAGTAAAAGAACAGATAAGTGTTGTTACTGCGGTTATTTTAAACTATAATTGAAAAAACATTTTCGTTAACGAAATAAAATAATAAACTAACTCAAACTACATTTTACGTTCATAAAACAAACTATAATTACAGCAAAAATGTCATTTGTGTTCATTTTTGGCAATTAATTTAATGCATGAGCCTTTGGGGTTGATTTTAAATTTGTATTTATTTTGATATTACTGCACGGCTGTTAGCCGGA